CTCCGACCCCCTCCCTCTCTGCAGACACTTGCTGTTGTGTCCCACGCGCTGCTGTTTTTAGAAGGTGATTTCTCTCGCACAGCAAGCCACTGCAGTGGACACAGCACAGCACAGCGACGTCTGTCTGTCAGCACGCAGGCTGAAGGGGCAAGAAGGGGGAAACGTACGTCGATTTGTGTGTTTTTTTTAGAATTGAGCTCTTTTTGTAGAATAAAGAGGTGTGAACAAAGCAGAGTGCGTGGAGAGGGGGCACGAGAGTCCGAACGTAAGTGAAGGGAGTGCAGATCGATTCATGCCTTAGTCAGGAAGTCACCAGTATTGCTTCAACGCAGTGCAGGACCTGCAGAAAGCTCTCTCCTGCAGCTGCACAAGGGTAAGAGTGAATAGTCCTATTCCTGTGCAGCAGTTTTGCCAGGTCATTTGAATTATGTTGAATGAAAACCTTTTGGATTTAAAAAAAATATTTAATTGGGACTGTGATTTAGAACCTAAACCCATGCATTGCAGTGCGACCGATTCCTTCCTGCTCCTGCCAGGGCGACTCCATTGTCCCGCTGTGTCTTCCCCCAACATGCAGTTTATCTGCAGCGTCTCACACCCGTGCTGCAGTTCTCTTGCGTCCTCCCAGCAAACGCCAGCCGAATAATCAGATACCCACTGCGGGACCACGGGGGCAGGCTGTGCACTGCTCACGCCCATGCAGACACGACAGGAAAACAACCTCTACGTGACAGAGGTGTCAAGGTTGAAGAGTTCTGCTGGCTTCAAAACAATAAGAGATCAGATCACTTTATTGGCCCTATACAATTTCTTGGATCAGGAATTTGTCTTTTTTCCCCAGACCCCAGCTTGCTCTCCATGAGACACACACAGACAGGAAGAGAGAAGCTTGGGGTCCGAGCACAGGGTCACCCATTGATACGGCGCCCCTGGAGCAGCTGGGGTTAAGGGCCTTGCTCAGGGGCCCAGCGGAGTAGGATTCTTCTGCCGGCCGCAGGAACCGGCAACCTTCCAGCCACAGGCGCAGATCATGAGCCACAGAGCCAGCGCTCTGCCCCTGTACTCGATACTCTCCTTGATTCAGATCACTCCGCTGTAAAATCATCTTGCATCAGATGAACTACTGTAGTGCAGAGGGAAGCAAAGATCAGCGCCAAGAGGGAAAGGTGACTGAGCACTGGTTGAGATTCCAGACACAAGTGGGAAAAATAATTTTGAGAGAGGAAAGAGGTCCTGGCAGTGGGTATGAGGGAGAGGAAGTGAGCTAACGTACTCTTTGACCTTCAGAGGGGTTGGCCCACAGGAGACTCCCAGTCACCCAGAACAGTAAGAAGCACCGAGGGGAGGTTCTGAACGTCTTGAGAAACAGCTCAGTTTTAGCTCTGCATTGCACGCTTCAGTCATTTGCAACAATGTGGGCAGTTTCCTCACATGTAAAGCAATAAAAAGGGAGGTTGGAACCCTATCACAGACAAAAGCCTCGGACTTTGCTCTGTAAAATGTGGCAGCTGCAATAGTGAAGGACAGCTCACAGGCAACCCTGTGTTGTTTTCAGTGCTTTATGAGTAACAGGCTCCTGCTCATGTATTGGATACAGTGGTTAGAAAAATAGATGTTTAGACCATTTTAAGGCACAAAATACTCCGTTTAATGTTTCCCCATATTCTACATGCCGGTCTGAGCACGATCTGGGTGAAGCCAGGGTGCATGCAGTTTTATCCACCCACCCCTAGGTGGCAAACTTCCCAAAGATCCCAGGGCCACAAGCACCAGAACATC